TAGCCTTGTGGTGATGGTTCAGTTATGCCTACTACGTAGTTTCGTGAATACATCAAGGTAGCATGTTCAATCTTCAGGGCTTGTTGTCTTCTCTGCTACTATTTCTTCATTTTTATAGGTGTGTGGTTTTTCGCATAATTGAAAAATCACACACCTATAAAAATATCAAAACACACTAAAGCAAACATAATTACGGGAAAATTTGAGAAATAGTAGAGAAGGCAACAAGCCCTGAAGAGTGAACATGTTATCTTGAGGTGCTCACAAAACTACGTAGTAGGCATGACTGAATGAACACAAGTATTCTAAGTCATAAAACTTCTCCAAATTAATTATATATATATATATATATATATATATATATAAATATATATATATATATATATATATATATATATATATATATATATATATATGTATATATATATATATATATATATACGTTTTTGTATTTGAGGGGCAGTGTGCAAAATAAGGAAGACCCACTCGTCTCCGTTGACTAGTATTGATATCTTCGAGAATGATTCGTGCACTTTTAGAAATTAATATCTAACTTTAAAAATTATCATTAAAAATAGTTTGTGAACAATTCTTATAATAATTCATTAGTCCTCGAAATATTTTTTTTAATTCACACTACATCCATCATTTATATTATTTCTGATAGCAATTAAAAGCTTATACAATTAAATAATTCGATAACTTTAATGCGGTTTTTTATGTAAGGATTCGGAGAATATCTTGTGTAAATTGGTAGTAGCTTGAGAAAAAATGAATTTAAAAACATCTGATGATACTTTTCTCTTAGTAGGTCGAGGCAAAAACAGACTCTGAAATTACAAATTGAATCTACGGACTGTCAGGTATAACTCAGTCCTTGCAAATTTCATACAAAAATATTGTACATTGGGAACTTTTGCAGTAAATTTTGGTTGTAAATATGTAACATCTAGGAGGATAATATACGGATATCTTTCCTCAGCTGTTTATAATTGTACTCTATTCAATTATTAACGTTAAAAATGAACTATTTTAAATTACAATATAGTAATTGGATAAGCGAAACTTAATTACAATATAATACATATTACTTATAATATATTCCTTCTTGCCATCAATTTTGACATCATGGGTAAACTATTTATTTTATAGTCGGTAACAACAGGAATATCGTAGCTCTAAAGAGATGTAATTGGTGGGTTGCGGAAATGAACTTAGTAACGCCTGTTCAGTCTTTTTATGCGGTTGTCTTTGTTTATTTGTCTGTGAGTTTAGGAAAGTGCATGAATGAATTTCTTTTCGTCTGGGACAGATTATATCTCGTTCTCACTGTTGAACGTTTTGCTTTCCAGTAATAACGCATATCTGTGGGTCTCGAAATGTTAATTAAGCCAATATCTTCTCGCCGGCCAATCACCTGTTCATGAAAACAAAGTTCCAGCAATATATTAAGAACAAAGACAACAAATCAAAATATGAAATGAACTCTGACATTTTTTTTAAATCGTATTCTCTAAATGTTGTAGAGATATTAACAAAGATCATAAAGAATAGTTTACAGAAATATATTGATAATGCCAAAGAAACGAGAAGGTTATTTGAATGCTTTGTTCTTTACGGCTTATCAACCCATTGTGTGTTATTTGACGTCAAAACATATTTTGTATCGTCAGAAAAATTCTTTTATTTTATATTAACAAGTTTTTAATGCTTACCCTATATAAAGACTAAGAACCACTCCAGGTAGAGGATTATGTTTTTTTTTTTGTTTTTTGTTTTTTTAAGCAGACACCATATTTTCAAATCCTACGATGTAACCCACAAATTCATACTTTTTTCTTTTGTGACCAAGTAAATGCTTAAAGAAATAACAAAACACGTGTTACAGATAAATCATATATTAAACAGTAAGTACAACAGAAGAATATTACACAACTATTGAGTGTGTGTCGGCTGAACCAGTGTTCAATTTATTCGACTGTTATATTTACTAGCCTCCCTACGAGGTAGGATGTGGCACAAGGCCGAGTTTAATGCAGGGTAATCCGAGCCCATAGGCTCGGCCAAAATTTCCACACAGAACCCCTTATAAACCAGGGTCGGATAGCTGTTTCCCGAGACGAAACTCTGCCCTTCGGCATAGTCCCGACTAGGGATCCTCTCTCTCCGGAGGCAGAGATCTTGACCAGCACGGCTGGAACAGATCTATTCTACTGTTCCCCCAACGCCTTCTCTTCTACTATTCTTATAGTAGGCGGAAGAATCCAACATAGATACTTTAGAGTGAGGACACCACAACATTTCCAAGGATATCTTTGCGTAAGAGATTAAAAGTAATCCGACTGGAATTCGAACTCGGCTTTTTGATTTCTCATTGTGAGTCGATAATCGTTGCCCTACTCACACATTTTAGAAGTAGAAGAGAAAAATTGTGATATTATATTCTGCGCGCATATGTGCAAACACCTACATCTTGGAGAAAAATACTGTTATGGGACCTTACCCATAATAACATAATGGACTATCCCATACGTAATAAATACTGCGCCTCAAGAGGAAGTCTAGAGTTCAGTCTGAAGTCTGGAGTGAAGTCCGTCAGCAGTCAGTCAGTCGAGTCAGAGGCAGTCCGGAACAGAGTCGCGTTCAGACAATTACTACTAAAGCTGATTGTTCGTACTAACACTTTTCTACCTCTCTGTATATATTCCCTGTTTGTAATATATCTGTGTTATTCCATATCCGTATTCGAGTTCTTCTTTATTGGTTCTACCTTGGACTATCACCGTAGTACAAGGAACCGGACTATAACAAATACCTACTAAAAATATGTAGGTATCAATCCAGAATCTTCTTTAAAGGGGACAAAATTCAGCATAGAGATTCACACAACTTATAGTAATACAACATTAGAATTACTAATTAGTAATTGTTATTATTTCCAAGTCACAAGTATAACTAAATAATAAATCAGACGGGATAAAGCAGAGTCTAGACTTTTGATATATTTTCATCTGATACGGCCTATTGATACTTTGCATTTGTCAGAGACTCTAGACAATGCTAGATGGATTCATCCATTTTCTACGACTTATCAACCCCTTGCAGGTTATTTAAAGCCAGAACTATTGTTTAGATACTGAGAATATTTTTTTTAGATAATAATCATTTATTGATACATGTCTTACTATTTAGTCCTTATCGCTGGAAATGGATTCATGTCTTTTCCAAGGTTGTTTGTCCATAAATGAATAAAATGAACCAGGTTATTATTGGAACTCGGCTCCCATATTAACACACCCGAGCCATTATCTATTACACCAGAAATACATCTAAGCTTACAGCACGTTATATTCCCAAGCGGTCATCCATGTAAATATTTTATTTTAAATCACTTCATCTTAAGCAAGGCGACAACGCCACTAAGATGCATGAGGCTACTGGAAATGAAAGAAAATGAAGAGAATTCAGGTGGCACTCAAACCCAATCCTAAACAGGGGACAAGGGATAAATCTTTACTTCTTTTTAAAAGACAACGGAGTAGAGTATTGCTTAAGTTTGGTGATAGACAACTGGAAAATATCTGTATGAAAATAAGTATAAATATTTTTATGTTATTCGTTGAGACATATATATATATATATATATATATATATATATATATATATATATATATATATATATATATATATATATATATATAATATGCATATTTCATTAAATAATATAGACAAATGTTGTCTATTTATTTTATGCAAAATTCTTCTCATAGCGTCTGTTAAGCTTAATAACGTCATCATTAAAAGAAGAAAGAAAATCACAATATTGTTGCGTATTTTTTAATCCAATCTAAGCTTTTGGCTTATATAAGCTATTATCAAAGATGACAATTACATTACATTATATTAAGCAATACACGGACTATGAATGGTAAAAAGTGCTGCCTAAATACACAAATTTAATATATATATATATATATATATATATATATATATATATATATATATATATATTATAATTATTTTGTTCTAAACAAATCAAACACGATTTTACGGCTGCATTATACTTTGATTTATATTTCATAGTCCCTCGCTAAACAAAATTTATAATGCTGATTTGACGTTATTTCCGGTGAGGAAGTTGAAAAACCTTTTTCATTAGTGAGTTAATTAAGAATTTTTAATTAAATTTCTTATACTAATTGTCATTAATGTATTTCGCATGTGGAAATCTCAGCGTATCCTGAAGGAAAACTGAGAAACATTTATTTAGCAATCAATAGGATCACAGTTGCGTGATATATTAGAATTAGAATTAACAAAAACAAAATGGTTCTTGTTCTATTTTCGACCCGTTGTTGAAGAAACCTTTTGAGGAATCTTTGAAATTAGTTCAATTGGTTTTTGATTGCTTTGTCAGTTGTCGTGAGTAAATAGTTTATAATATTTCTGGAAAATGTAAATAGAAAACACGGGAGATCGGTTTTACGTCAATAAACGGAAACGAACATAGGTTGGTTTGCAATTATTATTATTATCTTCTTCTTCTTCTTCTTCTTCTTCTTCTTCTTCTTCTTCTTCTTCTTCTTCTTCTTCTTCTTCTTCTTCCTCCTCCTCCTCCTCCTTCTTCTTCTTCTTCTTCTTCTTCCTCCTCCTCCTCCTCCTTCTTCTTCTTCTTCCTCCTCCTCCTCTTCTTCTTCTTCTTCTTCTTCTGCTACAACTACTACTACTACTAATTCCTTTTCTAATTGCGATGTCCCTTCAGGAAATTGGCAATCATGGCTCTCCACAATGTCTTGTCCATTGTTTCTCTTAATATATGTGATTTTTTAAAATCTCCCCTAAAAATTGTTCTGCTATTTATTTACTCAAACATTCTATGTAGGCAGCAATGCTTGGCTTTCCTCTGTGTAATTTGCCTGTCCTGTCAAGCTCGCTTTCCCCATACGCCGTAAAAAAATTAACAGTTTCTTTTTGGTGTTGTGTATACGTGTCCTTTTTTTTCAAATGTCTGAATTTATGTATAGATAGATCGATCGATCGATCGATCGATAGATAGATAGATAGATAGATAGATAGATAGATAGATAGATAGATAGATGATAGAACATCCTGATAGATAGATAGATAGATAGATAGATAGATAGATAGATAGATGTGAATCCTGTGATAGATAGATGTGAAAATATGATAGACAGATAGATAGATATGAGAATATATGATAGATAGATAGATATATATATATATATATATATATATATATATATATATATATATATATATATTGAATAGCTCAAACGCCAAGAGGAAATATTAGGCAAAAGTGAGTTATAATAACTTCCGAGAATTTCTAAGTTATATTTTTGGTATTTCTTGATTCCAGCTAAATTCCTTTAAGTTTCCATCTGCTCAATCTTGGAAGTTGTTAATCGAGCCATAGACAGAAAAAATATCAGAAAATAAAGTATCCTTTCTGGTCTTCAAGACTCTTGGATATTTTCCCAGAATTCTGTTTTCACCGATTTCCATCTATTTCAAGCACTCAAGACCACTTTCTGGAAAAACGACGGATGATTGCGTGGGGTCTGGAGAACGTTTAAAAAGAACGAAGCTGTCAAAGTGAATTTGCTTTACTCCGACCACAGATCTGTTACCGACGACACGCTGCCCTAACCACGTCCTAGACATCTTTCGCAAACTTTGAATTCGAAATATCAAGACTTGAAACGAGACAAAAAGGGTTAGGGGGTCGGGTCGACGGTTAGGCCGATAGGGTCGGGCCTCTCTTTCAAGAAATCAAATGGAGATTAAGCGGATGAATGTGATCTGTGAAGGTTCTTTTAGGTCAATAGGTTTCGATTTCTCTTAGTAGTTCATTTCGATTCAACTTAGTCCGTATTAACTATCAAATGGACAGAGCGGCCAGCAGACGGACAAAATCAAAACAGGCTTTTTATTTCAACGAAAACCATTGCTAGATATTCAGAGATGACTGAACTGATATAATGTTGGTTACGGACGTGATCAATATAAGAGCGTATTGAAAATTATTTACTTATAAGGACCCATCAAGCATGTAGAGAAATCTAAGAGTACTCATGCACACACACATATACACACACATAGACGCGCACACTCACACGCACACACACACGTATATATATATATATATATATATATATATATATATATATATATGAATGAGAGAGAGAATGAGATTATGATAGCGATCTACCTAGATTGATAGCTAATTCACAGACAGATAGAAAACAAAGAAAGAAAGAAAGTAAAAGAAAAAGAAAGAAAATTAACGAGCTCGCAAGGATATCTGCAGAATGAGATAGATAGATAGATAGATAGATAATGGACATAGATAGATAGATAGATAGATAGATAGATAGATAGATAGATAGATATCAGCAGAATAATTAGATATGAATAGATATATACATAGTGAGATATCGAAAGAATGAGATAGATAGGTAAATAGATAGATATCATCAAAATAAGCCGATATGAATCCATGAATAGAGAGATATATAGTTAGATAACAGAAAGAGATAGATAGATAGATAGATAGATAGATATCAACAGAGTAATTCGATATGAATAGATAGATAGATAGATAGATAGATAGATAAGAAGAAATTAAAATAGATGAATATACAAGTAGAAAAAGATAGATACATAGATTAGTAAATGAGCTTAGTGGAATATATAAATATATCCAGAGAAAGATATACATGTAAATGTAAGTAAAGAGAAAATGGTTGAATTTATAAATAATCTGTATTTATTGATAGAATCAACATATAACCTATTATAGTCGATATTACTAATCTGAATTGCGTCTTCTACAGCAACTGTATTTGTAACTACGATCTCTCTCTTTGAACTCTGTTCTTCCTGACACCTTTGCGTTCCGTAATCTAACGTTTATCGGTTCCTGAAACTCCTAAATTATTTAGCCTACGCCGTTTATTAATTTCACAAATTCTTAATATTTGAATTATTTTTTGATACCGCTTTTAGTAAGATCTTTCATTTATTGCATGCTGGGACCTCAACTGGTATTCAGCATCTAAAAAGTTACTGGGCCGTTTATCAAGTAAATTGTTATAATGACTTCAAAGGCAAGTTATTTTTGTGAATTAATGATTTTATTATTATTATTATTATTATTATTATTATATTTTTCCTATGCTTATTAACCCGTTGAGGATTATTTTAAGCTGAGACATATTTTGGATTGTAAACATAATTATCATTCTTTGCACATTAATACAGTATCAACAATTCTTTATTTTCTTTGTTTTTTCGTGTTTTTTTCTTCTTTTTAGAATAACAAAGATTTTCCTACATGCAAGTTCTACTGTTTTATTCATAGCTATTATAAACATAAGATAGATTCATACCTTCCCCAAGTGTATGTGCGCGTAAGTATATTTAACGAACATGGATGGAAATCAAATTGGGCTCCTAGAATATTCTGCCCGGGAAGACGCAGGTTCGAAGACTGGCGAAGGGGGCCGATTTTTCTTTAATCAGATTTCTCAAACATTCAGAATGGTAGACGAAATTATTTAAATATTCTGTACAATAAATCAACGAAGGCTTTACTACAATAACAGTATCAACTAAAAATAAAGCTTCAAGTGTTTACATATATACAGGGTGTACATAAAGTTCGTGTGCACTTTAAAAAATTATAACTTTATTTGTATTTGCGATAGAAATAATCTGTAAAAAAAATGTTATAAAGCTTAATGTATCTAGTTTTAAGTATAGCTAATATAACTAATGTGATTTCAGGCATTACTGTAAATCAGTTGGCAATTTTTTTTTTTCCCGTGATCTGCAAAATCGTATTACTTTTTGTATTGCTAATGATGGAGGACATGTGGAAACCTAAATAAAATCTCAGTAAAACCTTAAAAAAATATAGATTTACTTCTTTCTAATCCTTTTTACAAATTACTTCTATCGCAAATACAAATAAAGTTATAATTTTTACGTGCACATGAACTTTATGGACACGCTATATATATATATATATATATATCTACCCATCAATATCTAATCCCATTTTTCCTTTCATTTCGTTGTTGGAAGTGTTACCTGATGATCCGTAATCCTTCAAAAAGGATTTTGGAGAAATAAATTATTATAATGGTACCTTAAAGTGGTCTGTTTTTTTCATTAATTATATATATATATATATACTCTAAAATACAGAATATTATATTCTACTATCTCTTCCACAAGCGATTGCCCAATCGAATAATTACAATTCTCTTATTATGTCAAAAGTGAACGAAGCGATTTGCATAACGTTTTTATTGTACATATGCGGAAATACTGAAAAGTTGTAGGCCAGACAAAGCAATCTATTTACATTGTTCGGACAATCATCCTCCTCTTTGTCGCCATATTTATTATATTCTTTCGGCCGTTTTACGCTCCGTCCTTTTTCAGGTGATTGGAATGTTGATCTGAACTATTTATTTCGCTCGCTGGGGTGGACTGTTCTAGATTTGTTTCATTTTGTCTTCATATTTACTGTGTATCGGGTGGTAACAAAGATGAGGATGATAGTCCGAACAATGTAAATTGTCTACATAATACCTCATCTCAGAAATATAGATACATACAGACAAAGTAATGATTTTCTGTTTTTTTTTTTTTATCTGAAGATTAACTATTTCTTCAGCTTTTGAGAATTCAAGCGAACCAGGATGTTTTCAATAACAATCGTGTACCAATTCAAAACCTGGAATAAGTGTTATCAGTTTTAGATCAAATGTTATCATTTGAAATTTGTTCGACAGAATTTGAAAACAAACTTTTAGAATTACTATTCCTAACTATGTAAAAATAAATAAACAGAAATTTTACTGGGATGTTTATTCGAGATACGGAAATGATCTCTTGACTCAGTGAAAAACAATGATGATCTTGTATACGAAGAAAATCAGTGGCCCTGGTCACAACAGCCATAGATGCATCATGATGAGTAATTGCTGTTAAGATTTTATGGATATTTGCAACTGTCATAACACCACAAAGATACATGCCAACTAATAGATAGATAGATAGACAGACCGACAGAACAGACTGAAATATATAATAGCCTAGATAGATACATGCATACATAGATAGATACCTGAACATAATTAATTTCAGTGTCGAGATAGATAGATAGATAGATAGATAGATAGATAGATAAAACTGAAAATAATTAAATATGTCAATGTCCTGATAGATAGATAGATAGATAGATAGATAGATAGATAGATAAAACTGAAACTAATTAAATATTTCAATGTCCTGATAGATAGATAGATAGATAGATAGATAGATAGATAAAACTAAAATAATTAAATATTTCAATGTCTAATTAAATATTAGATAGATGAATGTCCTAATTAAATATGTCTGATAGATAGATAGATAGATGAATAGATAGATAGATGAATATTCCCAAAGCTTAAATTATTCTCAATCAGCCATACAATAATGGATTAAACTATAACCTATTGAAATTACCAATCGTCTACGAGATATGTTCACTAAACTTAAGCTAACTTAAACAAACTCCTTTTTTTTCTAAAAAGAATGAAAAGAAATTTTTCCCCCAGTGTTTCATTCAACTGAAACTGTGACTCTTAGTATTGTATCGCAATGACAATCTCTCCAAATTTCAGTAATTATTAAATCCACCAAACAGGACATTCCGTTCAGAGTGAAAAAGATAAAATCTGTTCTGGAAAAAATCACTACTTCCTTCATTTCGTCTTCTCGAAATAAATACCTCGATGGCATAACTTTTTTTTAATTTTAAAATGAATTTTCTTCAATAATGTGAAAGATGAACCACCTCAACACTGGTCTATATTCCACTACCTTAATATAGAACCCATTTCCTAACTTCAAGATTTATCCTACCGTATGTCAACGATCTCATATTTTTGAATAATTGCACAAATTATGCACTACTGATTAAAGTTCAAATATATAGCTAATGTGTACTTAAAAGTATACAAAAATGCGTGAGAAACGTTTGCCAGAACCTAATATCTATCTATCTATCTATCTATCTATCTATCTATCTATCTATCTATCTATCCTATGCATATTGTTCATATCTATCTATCTATCTATCTATCTATCTATCTATCTATCTATCTATCTATCTATCTCATACTAATCATATCTATCTATCTATCTATCTATCTATCTATCTATCTATCTATCCTATGCATACTGTTCATATCTATCTATCTATCTATCTATCTATCTATCTATCTATCTATCTATCTATCTATCTATCTATCTATCTATCTATCTATCTATCTATCTATCTATCCTATTCATACATCATATCTATCTATCTATCTATCTATCTATCTATCCTACTCATACATCATTTCTATCTATCTATCTATCTATCTATCTATCTATCTATCTATCTATCTATCTATCCTATCTATCATTTCTATCTATCTATCTATCTATCTATCTATCTATCTATCTATCTATCTATCCTGTTCATACATCCTTTCTATCTATCTATCTATCTATCTATCTATCGTATGCATACTGTCCATGTCTATCTATCTATCGATCTATCATATGCATACTGTTCATATCTATCTATCTATCTATCTATCTATCTATCTATCTATCTATCCCAATCTGCCCATACCTACCACAGTCTATTCATATCGATCTACTATCCATACTGTTCATATCTATCTATCTATCTATCTATCTATCTATCTATCTATCTATCTATCTATCTATCTATCTGCAGGTGCTCCTCAATAACTCCAGTATTTAATTTCCGTTTGTAGACCGTTATCCTCCGTTTAGATAATTAAAATGTGCTCTATTGTATACCTGTGAATGTTGAAATTAGGGATCCGTCCCTCACTATTAACCGCGCCAAACGAACCGACACAGAAAGCGGTGTGGGGGAACAACTAATGGCCTATTATTTACGAACGAAATTAAATTATTAATCCCTTCAGCATATAGATATTTATCCGTACTTAATCAGCTCTATTTGCATGTGACTGTTTACGTTATGATTAGATGAGTGGGTAGTGTAACACCTATCGGCGGGAAAACTGAAATCGGCATCCCAAGTTCAAATTCTGAACAGGTTTGTCTCACTCATCCCGAACTAATGGCCTTAGGAAAGGTGTCATTTAATATTATGGATGAAAACGTAGCGCACATTGGGACCGCTTCTCTTGTCGAGGTGAATTAAAATTCTGATTTCAGAACCAGTCTAAAATGTGGCTATCTTTCCCAAGACTCAAGGACTGCTGGTACGGCCGCAGTACACGTGATTTCTCATATGATGATCATTGGTCACGAGGCTGTTGATGACGTCAAATATTGTACATGCGTATTAAACACAAACGCACATATGCGTCTTTTTTCTCTGTGACGTGTCAATCCAGGATGTGGGCGATCATGGCTTTCCAAAATGTTGTCCTTTGTTGGTCTGAGAAAATTTTCCTTTTCGCTATCTCTCCCAATCTATTCTGCCAATCTCGTTACGTACTTTTCTCATTCCCTCTTGCCTTTAATATGTCCTGTGAGCCACTACCGAGAATTGAAACCTGAACGCCATACCAACTGTATCAACAGGCCTCGGTGATGACGAAGTAACGAATTAGACACGTTGGTACAGTTGGTATGGCGTTTGCCTCCTATTGTAATTGTTCGGGATTCATTTCTCGTTTGTGGATGCGCACTGTAGATGAGTCTCAAATATCGGAAGAAACGGCCGTCCAGTGCCTTCTGCATTCTGATGGGTTTTCTTCTAGACTTGATGAATTACTTAATTATGATATATATATATATATATATATATATATATATATATATATATATATATATATATATATGTCTTGGTCGGCCAGAAATAGGCTATTCCCCCATTTGAGGATATTTTTTTATTTTATTATTTGCTCTGTAATAACAAATACAATGAACTGTTCTGTTGATCACTTTTAATATTTTACATTACTAGGATCCATTTGGATTATATACCAACAGATTTGTTACCATTAATATCTCTCTGTCTATGTATCTTTCTCTCTCCCTTTCTGTATATATATATATATATATATATATATATATATATATATATATATATAGAGAGAGAGAGAGAGAGAGAGAGAGAAATATATTTATTATTACAGAGCAAATACTTAACAAACAATAAAATAAAAAATATCCTCATATGGGGACTAGCCTATTTCAACCGACCAAGACATCGTTCATCAGTCTTATCAACCCCGGTGTGTGCTGTGCTCGTGTCAGAATTTATCAATATATATATATATATATATATATATATATATATATATATATATATATATATATATATATATTGTAAGTTCTCTCATAAAAGGGAATGTTTTGGTTGAAGACTATCTTGCGTCGACAGTTTTTTACCTTCGATTCTAAGTCTTAGAGCCATTTTCTGGTGATCTTTTTGGACAAAGAATAAGTTTTTTACTTTAAGAAAGAAAGGGCGAACTCACACTGACGTCCTATTCCTGTTTCAGTAGAAAGCGTTATCTTCATTCGAAGCAATCCGATAATTCCACTAAGACGCAATGGGTCTACAGGAAATGAAAGAGAAGCAAAACATTTTAGAAGAAACGGGAAACCCAGTCCTAAGCAGGAAACAATTGGTAAACTTCGACTCCTCTTCAAAAACCCTGAGAGGAATGTGAACCACACGATAGGTGAACCTATCTACTGCTAGTAAAAAACAAAAATATAATTATTAAATAAAAATTCAAATTTTAGGCGGGCATCTTTGGTGTATAGAGATAAAGGAGAGTTCAGAATGAATCGGATACCCAATCCTAAATATTGAACAAGGGACAAATCATTACACCTGTGTAAAGAGACCAGGATCAGTATGAATCGGTCGATAGATAATATGTGTTATTTATGAAAGAGAGAGACATGGAGATAATATAATATTTCTTGTAGGTTTTAGAAGCTGACAAAGATTCAGTAAAATATTGTAACTTTATGTGTTTTTTTAAAATGTTCATAAATAAATGCTTGCTAATCTGATAAATAAAAAATGTAAAACAGGACAATGAAAGCGGAAGTGGTTCATCAAAATTAGACATTCTTCTATTTCCGCTATGTTCCGGATCCCTTCAGCATATGGAGGATCATAGTTCTCCACAACATCCTCTCTTTTGTAGCTTTTAAATAGATAACGGTTGACTCTCAACTCGAATAATTTAAGATTATAGTGATCAAGGAAGGATCTTCTGAGGAGTTCGGTCTTGGGAAGAAGATACGAGA